CCCCAAAACCCCAAAACCCCATGATGCTGTTTTTATGAAAGTTTATTCAGAGGAATTTAAATCGAATTAAAATATTTGCAATGGAGAAATACGAATTGATTAAGAAAATAGGAGAAGGGTAATTTTCAAATAAAAAGCAAGTTATTAATCACTCTTAATAGTACTTATGGAGTTGTGTCAATCGCTCGTCACATTGAAACTGGGATGTTTGTTGCCATTAAAAAATTCAAAGAAAAAGATGATATTGAAGAGGTAAGAGATTTGAAATAAAATTCTTCTTGATTTCTATTATTTGCAATTATTCAGTTCCAATAATGAGTATTTGAATAGGTGAGAAAGACTGCTCTTAGAGAGATAAGGATACTGAAGCAACTGAAGCACGATCACATTGTTCATTTAATTGAGGTTTTCAGAGATAATGGGAGAATATTCCTAGTATTTGAATAACTCAATAGAAATATACTTGAGGAGCTTGAAGGAAACGGAGACAATATTGGAATTGAACCTCTTGAAGTAAGGATAACTTCTGATATCTTTCTTTTCTAAACTCAAAAAATATAGGCCTAGAAATTGATATGGCAAATACTAAAAGCCACTGCTTTTATTCACTCCCACAATATCATGCATAGAGATTTCAAGCCAGAAAATATTCTTCTGTCAAAGAATGGAGTTGTCAAGATTTGCGACTTTGGCTGGGCAAGATCCACTACAAAGCAAGGAGACAAAGATTTTACTGAGTATGTGGCCACTAGATGGTACAGAGCTCCTGAGCTGCTATTAAGAGATAAGAAAAATTATGGGAAGCCAGTTGACGTTTGGGCATTAGGGTGCATTTTTGTGGAGTTAATTACTGGTGCACCACTGTTTACTGGAGAAACTGACTATGATACCCTGAGATAAATCCTTTCAACTTTTCATTAGGATGAGGATCTTACTGAAAAATAGAAATAAGCTTATGAGAGGAATCCATTACTTGCTAAATTCCCTATTCCTTATTCATCAGATTTAAATTTTGAAACAACTTTAGAAGCCAAACTTGGTTTTATAAAAAACAGCAAAGCTATTTAATTTGCTAGAGAATGCCTAAGAATAGACCCTGATCAAAGACCTACTTGTGATCAGCTGATGGATCATCCTTATTTTGAAGATTTTAGAGAAGAATTTGAAGATGAGCTTTAAACTCTAATTGAGTTCGATAATTAAGAATTGTTTAACTCTAATGGCAAGCAAACTCTTTATGCTAATCTCTAAAAACCCTAGTTACTTCTGCATTCTAGCTTAAATCATATGAGCAGATAAAATCTAAATGCCTATCAAAACGAATATGAAGAAGCTAAGATATCTGCTAGGCTTCACTAAAACCATTCAAACAGCTTTATTGCAAACAAATAAAACCTTCAGAATTCTTACTTCGGATAAAGCGATATTATTAAAGAAGAACAGACAATCACAAATAACGAAAAAACATCCTTCATGAATAATCTAAATGGCTCTCCTATTTTTGGAAAAAATTTCAATAATCAAAATATAAGTAGTAATTTGATGAGTTAATCTCCCTAGCACAATCACAATGAAAATACGAATACTATAAACAAGTATCCTTAATAACAGCAAACACAGTCGATTAATAAGTAACAAACAGTAAGTAAAATAAATATAAGTTTTATGGGAGAAAATTCAGTTACTAATCTATAAATGCCGAACACTAACAACATTAATAATCTAAATAGTGGCTCACCATCCAGTGATCTCACACAAGTTCAAAGTTTTAGCAGCAATCCTGTTCATAATTTCAAAAGCAATTCTAACAACATATGCGGTCTTATCAAAAGGGTCTCGAATCACAATCAGCAATCAAACACTCAAATGGATTATTCATATGGATCAATCTCTCACAGTGGAAATTAAAACAATAACTCAATAATTGGGGCAAAGGGTGGTGGATTCTTCCCAAATCTTAGAACCAAGCAGAGAGATAACACCAATCCTGGATAAATTAGCACTCATAATACATTTAATATCAATATGAACAAGAGTAACAATAATGGATTGACAAGGATGATTGCATTGCCCTAACTAAATGACTCAATAATAAATGGGAATATTAACTAGGATGAACCGATAAACTCGTATTTCCATACTTCAAGCAATCAATAGCTAATCCCCTCGACAAGTTCATATCAATTCTAGTTGCATGCTATAGGTCAAGGATTTAATAATGCGAGCATGATTGATTAACAATAGCAAAATAAGAACTAGGCCTAGAGCAATCTGCTTAATAAAAAGAAACAACTTGATATTTAGAACAAGATGATGTTTCCAACAATTAATACTAATAAAGAGAATGTAAGTGGTCCACTGCCGTAACCAAATGTAAAGATTATTGATCTCTAGCATAATCTGCTGCCTTTCGAGTCAAACTCGAGTGAGATGATTGGGGGTGTTCCTGCTGGAAGAAATATCATAGATAGTTAGTAACTTAGAAATTAGATAAAGTAATAAAGAGTAAACAATAACAAAGACTTGATATAAATGTCCTAGCATTAGTAATATCTTCTTCAGTAAATGCATAGTCATAATCCACACAAAAATGGAAATAGTGTTAATAACTATTATAATCATCAAACAGGAGGCACTGGCTAGACAATAGGCACTGCTTAAGTAATGCCAAAAACTCCCAACGACATATATGGATTTGCACAAAAAGCTATTTTACATTCAATCTTTGACAAAGGAGGGAGTCCTGGTGTGATAAGTACTGCTGCAGGACTTTAAGGAGTAAATAGTTCTCATGGCTTAAGTGGAATGAATAAACGTCACACTACTCCTTACCTAGGCTAAGATCCAATGAACTAAAACTTGGGTCGATAGTACAAACTAATCAGTAAATAATGAGATCTTCATTATTGACTCAACTATTTGAAATCCTAATAATTAGTTAAGTTTCATAATCAGCCCTATATTAGTTAGCTTCCTAAAGAATAATCATTCTTATTGCTAGTTTATATTTTTAAATTAAATTAGATTAACTTGCATCTGAATAATAAAATTACAAATCATGGGGTTTTGGGGTTTTGGGGTTTTGGGG